CTCTTTTTCAAACATGTCTTTTCAACTAGCTTCAGTTTTATATAATATTAATACAACTCTCTTATTTAAGCTACAGATGTAAAATTATGAGAGCGATAAACTAGTCATCGAGGTATAGTTGGCATTATGTTCAGAGGAAACATACATATGTAATGTACAATCGGCGTCATGTATGCTATATCATTTCCTAGATCGAAAATTATACGATTTTTAATCTTATGCATATATACGTAAGCTCCAAATCGTCATAATTAGAGCCAATATAACTCTATCGTTATAATAAATGTTATTTATGCGATATTCAATTTTATAGATTACGCATAAGGCTGAAAATCATATAATTTTCCTTTTAGAGAATGGTACAGTATACATGACGTCAACTGTACAAGCATCATATCTTTCATACCTAAAGATTATAACACACGTGACATTAATATATATAAGTATAAATATATATAAATTACAAATACGCAAAAATCGCAATATTATATTTTATCCAATTAGGATCCTTTGTGCGCAACACTATTCGTATGAGGTGTTGTAAGGTTATATGTAAAATATAACAAAGTGTAATTTATATATATATGTATGTATAAATTGCTAGAGACCTAGCAAAGATTTCTTCAAAATTCATGGTATCTCTCTCTATATAGTTTCTATATAATCATATAGAATTATCACGTTGATTTCGTGAGAAAAGGATTTGTGCAATTTCTCTCTTCTGACATCATTCAATATGATTGTAATTAGAAAACGATTTGATATCAAGCCAATAACAAATGTAGACAAATTTAGTAAAGAGCATGAGATGTATTGAAAAAGATTGGAAAAGCAGGATGTGAAAATATAAGAGCGATTCATTATTAACACTAGAAAAAAAAAATCTACGTATCTACAGCAAGGAAAATTGCTAAGGAATGCGAGTGAAACATCGAATGCGTTTCAAAATTAAATAATAATTAAAGAACGGCTCCGTAATGGGATATGTGACAATAACTTACGAGACCAAGAATTTCCTTAGAGACTAAATGCAAGAAATAAATATGTTTAGTGACGAAAATGATAAAGTTATATCGCTAAACGTATCGTCTATTTTTTGGTGTTTTGCGACATCTTCGTCTACCGAAAATCGCAATTATACAAATGACAATTATGGCTATAAGAACTGCGCTTACGACCCATACTGTTTTACTGGTGTTAATCTTTGGTGTGTTATCTTGTGTATTATTCACTATACCGGGTATCAGTGATTCGTTGACAGGAACTTGGATTGACCCCGATGAATCGGGACTATTTGGCTTATTTTCCAAAATATGCACGGACGTTGTAAATTCTGGTGGATTTTCTACTTTTGACTGGTTCGCTTTGTCTCTAGGCTTGACTGATGACGTAGCTTTTGCTGTTATCCGTTTGTCTGTTGTTATAGTTGTGGATGGTGGTAGTGTCGTAGTGGGAGCATTTATCTCTTGCAACATGAGCTTCTCCAATTTTTCCAGTTCTTCGTCTTCGTTGGATCCAGATTTATATTTGAAGTCTTCTTCATTCAGTTCGATTAACTCCTCCAATGGTGTGAAGTATGAAATCAGAGCATCCGCATATATATCATCTATTTCCAAGTTTTCGTTGAGGATATCCGGCCAATTACGGGCTCCACCAATCTGAATCATTTTTCTACATAGGAAATAATGAAAGTTCGCTTAGAAATTGCATAAAAATATTTGCTCGCACAAATACACACATGCGCGATATTTTATTTTATTTTATTATTTGACAGAATGTATATGTTGTTATTCTTACATTACGTTAACTTACATTATCTTGCTGTCCATCAATTTTCCGTCGATGTTGTTGTATCTGACTTCGGTCGAGTCCACGATGAATTCGTACAATTGGAAAGCGAGTAGCGTGCCGAGAATTTTACTGCATATAAAATATTACTTATTAATATCGTCACTTGTTTAAAAGTGGTTATATTTCGCTCCATTGGTGTACTTACGGAAGATACGGTTTGTTGCTAATGATATAACTATCATCCAGGAAAGTGGGACTAGTCGCGTCGATGGAAGAAACACCTTCGTATTCTTGCCTTGCGTGAAAAAATTAAATTAACATGTTACGAATATAAAAAGACAAATTATACTGAATTCCTAGTGCGCATTATGCGTTGTAATACCTGTATTTCCACCAGGAAGATACCAAATCCGCTGGTTCATTGATATTCTTCTCAATTGCATTTAATCGCCACATATCCACGGAGTAATAATATGCTAATCGTGGAAAGATATCTAAGGCGGCAATCATTAGAGATACAATCATGCGTTGTTCATTATCGTTGGAGGCATTCATTAAGCCAGTATGATTTATCCACGCAGGACTCGTCGATAGTATTCCAAACAATATAGATATGCTTTCTTCTAGTCCTGCAAAATTGTACAAATGCCTTATCATTAAGCTATTTTAACACTTTGGAGGACGATTCTGTTTTTATATGCGTATGTTAGAGAGATCGTCGGAATATCTTCTTACCCGAAAATCTATTAACTGTATTGAGAATGGGAGTGCTCTCGACGGTCATTTGATTGAATAGAATTCTCCCAACATCTTTGTGAGCTGCCATGAAATTGCTCACGGTAGCTTTGGAACACGTTGATACTCTAAAATAGTTAACGTTTACTTTGACAATCGTACTATATTATGCCGCAGATGGAATGTAACTGTTAAATTTCAATATACATGCCTCATTATACCATCTCGACAAAGATTTAACAGACTAGACGGACACTGTCCATTGAACTCGCTGTAATCCCAAAATTTAGCTTGCGGAACTCGTTTGAACAATAGCGAGCCCAAATTAGATGCAATTTTGTACAGAGGTTTACCTGCGTATTTCTACACAACACAGTAAAGGATATTAGACATTATGTCATAATAACTTTACAGTGGTTTTATAATATTGACTTTGATCTTCGCGTTTAACGTAGAATAAAATAATTTGTAATGTAGAACAAAATAATACAGTCTCTACCTTTTTCCAAAGATTCTTCTTGACACCGTAGATTAAATTTGAATGGGGCAATGTATCCGATGGTAAATCTGTCCAGTCATACCCTTGTAAGCTGCCTTTCGAGTGAAATTACATAGATTCAGTAAATGAAGATTACAACAATTATAAACCAGCATTCGTTCATTATTTTTACTACATAGTTTAATGTTAATACGTGCAAAATGTTAAGCAGAAAACTCCGAGCTTTAAACGTCCTTAAGATTCGTGTCTACATGGTAGTTCTTTTTTCATCGAATTTTTCAAAACTAGTCTTACATTTTTTTAAGAGCACGATAAAAACTCGTCGCTACAAATTGTTATCTTACCGAGTAAATGAGCAGGGATCGTGTCATTTATAGTGATCCCATATTTTTTCGACAAGTTCGTGCCGATGAATTTCAGAATCTTTTTATGAAAAATATCAATCCGACTCCATTCGCTCCTTATTTTCTCATACGCATCAGGATATCCTGCCAACATCTCCCAATATTCCTCAACATTTTTGGCACCTGCAACCGAACGTTTGACGTACTTTCAAATATATGTGTCGCATTTCACATGATTAACCACGTAATATACTTGAAATAATACTGACCATTTTCTTTTGCTGCTTCGTTGATAAGAGGTAAATTGTTTGAGTAATTAGTCACTAGCGATTTCAGTTCACGATACCAACCGTTCCAAACAACTTGCTTATCGCTCGCTTTTCCGCTATGAGACAACAAATATTCCACATCTAAAATGATATACGATTATGAAACTTCTTTATTGATTTTATAGTTTATGACTTATAATATGCATTGAATCTTTATTATACAGGGTATCCCAAAATTTTCACATGCGGAGTATGCAGGGAGAATTTTCATACCAAAAGAGAAGTAACTTTTTCCTTAGCAAAAATGTCGAGAAAAGTTATTATTTATAGTGACTTAAATTTTCAACATAACACATCTTTGAAGCTAAACCTTAGATTAAAATTCTGTTAAAAATTATTGTATAAGTTGTGTATATATCATAAAAAAGATAAAATAAAAACACACCTTCTCGTGAATATTTTTGTGACTTGTTGACGTAACTATTAGTTGATCGTTGTAATTCCACGGCACCGACGAAGTGCACGAGCTGTGTAAGAGAGATAATTATAAAAAATGTCATTACAAACACATATATAAATGTCGACTAACAGCTGCAAAGATTCCTTACTTTTTCCCAATCTTCTTCTTTTAGCAATGCGTCACCAGGTTTCTTAATCACGTCATATTTATATTGAAGCAGTGACTCGAGCTGCAACTTCTCGTTATTTGATACCTTTTTGAGTATCTCGGTCTTCTGTGTTTTCTTAAATGTCCCATATTCGTATTGTTGCGCCTCCTAAAACATATTTGAAAAATTTACTTGTGAAATAGAGAAGATCGCTGTACATAAATGCGAGTTTCACGATATATTTACCCATGCGAGTAACGATTCGTTGGAAGGTGCAACAATGAATGACCATTGTGCATTGGTGATGTGATAACATGCATCTTCATAGTCCAACTCAGTTAGCTCTAAGAAGGCTTCAGTTTCACTTTCCACCGGAGCAGTGTTCACGTAGATAATGAGATTAAGAAGGATCCAGCTCCATTTCGATAGCATCCCTTTAACCTGCGAAATAGACACTTGCGTTTTTGGTAGATACTTCGGTTTGTTAATAGCGTGTTGAGTAGAACGCAGAACGTGGCGGTCCCAAGAAAGTATAGAAAGTACATATACAAGAATTATACGTCTGGCTTATCGTTGGCTTATTTCCAAGAGAAATTCAGCACAGGAGAGATAATAATTTGTAGCGGTTATATGCATTTCGAAGTGCGCACAACAGCGATTTACTTCGGATCCCGAAGTGATGAAATTATTCGATGAACGATGCTATCGCGAGAAAACAAGCGCGAGTACTTATCGTGTTCGATATTTCACATTATCGTTATTAAATGTTACACGCCAGATGGATTAGTCATATATGCTAATATTGGTTAAATAACCTACGCATAATTCTGCAAATAGTTGGAAGTTGGAGATTTATAATACTTTTTAACACATTGCATGCGGGTATATTCCGTTGCAGATTTACGCGTGTAGCGGGCGTTTTTTCGCGAATTTCCCGGGAGTTTGGTATTCAGTAAAATCGCAATAACCAAGTAACTCAACAAACTAAACTTTTAAAAAGAAACAATGGAAATCGTTGCCACCAACACAAATACAAACACCGTACACACTTACAATGCCCATCGTATTTATACTCGCTCTCCAGCACAAATCTACTAAATACGTACTCTTACGTGATCCGCGCTCTAATGACAGACTAGACAGCAAAAAACGTAAAAGTACGTTTCTCGCATGCAATGTATTAATATATAAAAGTTATTTACACATTTGTAATTAAAAATAGAATTTCATGAATAGAAATCGTACGTCGAAATTACCAAATATATATTTCAAAGTCGATAATCAACAGATTGATCGAGAAACTGTTTACCATATATCGGTGACCACGACGAAATAGATTGAGAGATAAATTATTGATGATGTAGAAAATCATTCCCAACGTTTTGCTAATACAGAGATAATAAATTTTTACATAGATAAAGGGGAAAAGAAATCTTATTTGCACTTAGATATGACCTAATAACAGTGTTATTTGAGAGATATTAATATACTGCGAAGTACGGATATTAAATACGGAGAAAAATTAACACGAGCCTCAGATATCTCGGAAGTTCACAGTGAAAACTTCAAGTTCAACAAGACACATGTTCTTCAAATATGAGCAGTTGGAAGCATAAGATTTACGTCACATACATAGAAGGTTGCGGTCGAGCCAATAAGACGAACATGTCTGTATTTCTAACAGAGAGATTTACTTTGTATACACGCATACTCGGTCTAGTCGAGATAGATCGAGAGATATATTTCTGTCTTGGCTATATTCTCACGGACTACGCAGTTCAGAGAGTCACTTGTATTCCATTGCGAAAAGATTCTCTGTTCTATCGTCGTTCAATTAACATTCACTTCCGCCAACCGACGTTACGCATGTGTGACGCGCGGTTTTTTCCGAGAGCCTAATCGTCACGTATAACAATGATAATTTTGTATTCTATTTACATAAATAAATTATTTATTTGCTCTATTACGTAAAAAGGAAGAAAATGTCGGATGGTCTGTAGCGGACGAATTTTCGAATGAACGATGCTACCGGACATATCAAATGTGATGATATTTCATTAACGTCACATGCGTGACTTAGCATATATCGCACCAATACTTGATGTTAATAAGGATGCTAATAAGACGAAAATAGACGAACTATTATGCAGTTAATATGGAAAAGTTACCGACCAATATCCGAAGTTCAAAGCTATTGAAAAATAAACAACGAAGTTTCTAGCTATGATCGAACAAAGATAGCCGTTCGCCTTTTCGTATATTACATTACGCATACTTTAACAAATAATATGCGTTAACAATAATAGTAATAATTCGCAAGTTAGAATCTATTCAGAAGGTAGTAGACTGATTCTGAAAGAGATGACAACGTCACAGACACAGATAAAATTGTAGCCAATATTTCCCTCTACTTTGTATTCCGATTTGAATTGCGATAATATATTAACGTCACATGCGTGATTTAGCATATATCGCACCAATACTTGATGTTAATAAGGATGCTAATAAGACGAAAATAGACGAACTATTATGCAGTTAATATGGAAAAGTTACCGACCAATATCCGAAGTTCAAAGCTATTGAAAAATAAACAACGAAGTTTCTAGCTATGATCGAACAAAGATAGCCGTTCGCCTTTTCGTATATTACATTACGCATACTTTAACAAATAATATGCGTTAACAATAATAGTAATAATTCGCAAGTTAGAATCTATTCAGAAGGTAGTAGACTGATTCTGAAAGAGATTCTAGTTATATAATAGCACTTCAAAAATCGATTTGCATAGCAAACCGAAATATCTAAAGAACAAATGTAAATTGGCCATTTTTAATTAATATTTTTTAATATAAATCTATTACGAAACCGCACGATAATTTAAAAAAACATTATTTCAATTTCTTCGGGTGAATAGTCAATTTTTTTCAAATTTTTTTACAATTGAAAAATTCAAACGATGTCGTTCAGTTCACGAATATGCTTTGAGTCGCATGAAAGAATTTCGCGCGCTTTTTATAGTGGAGATTTATGATAACTTAACAGATTCACGTTGTTGCATGTTGTTGCCAAATCGAACAAAAAGTTAAATAAAAATCAGGATGACGTTAAAATAATGTCAAAATAATATCACTTTGAGTAATGAAAGTTCTGTGACTAAATACAATATTAGTATAGGACTGTAAAGAGCTGAAGCACAGTTATTTTAGTGCGTAAATTATCTTTATTCTATTCGAATTACATATTGCAACTTGTTATAATACAACCAAACTTTATATAATTTTATAACTTTATAATAAGTTCCAGTATATAATTCAAATAGAATAAAGATAATTGTTTATGGCATTAAACTGACTATGCTTCGTTATGATATTTGGCCCTATATTGATATTAATATCATTTTGATATTATCTTAACTTTTTGGTTTTTTTGTTCTACTTGGATAGTGTATTAAACTTTTATTTAAAATTATTAATAGTAGCTGAGCATAAAAATAATTATAGAATCGTCGTAATGAATTATATTATGTGATAATATAATTCCGGTTTTCAAAATATTTAATAAATATATATTATTGTGCATTTTAAGAGTTTCAGAATAATCCAAGGTGAAACCTGATGTTCGTAAACAAGTAAACCGTAAGAAATTTGCCTTGAACCGAGAATATTCACAACAAGCACGAATACGATTCAACGGTCGAGTATCACGTGTCCTCAATCGTTGACTTTCATTGCAAACAATCTCAATGAATGCGTTCTCCAGGAAACTGATATTAACCACGATAAAAATTCGATTTGTAGATCTCAGTTGCACTCACGCTCTCTTCGCATCTCCCGCGCTCAAAAATGAAAATTAGGTACACGTGCGAATTTCATGGGTGTTGGAACGGGGGAGAAAGAAAGAGAGAAAAGGAAAGATAACGGAGAAACGTCGGGGAGGCATGTAGAACAAATGTAAAATACACTGCACTATTGTTACCTTTGATAATCAAGCGTAGTCACGCTCGATTCCCGCGGCTCACACTTGCCTAGTGCAACAAAGCTCACGACAGAGAGGAGGATGCGTGGGCAATGTGGCAAGGAGGACCGACCGAGAGATCAACCGAGATTGGACCGTGAGTGAGTCTGACGGGTGGGATTGTCGTACAGTGGTCAAAGTTCGTCGAGCAATTAGTTAAGGAGCGAGCGCTGATCGACGACTCACGCGCTAATAGGCCGATACCGCCTGTATGTGCGACGACCGTGCGTTATCACCAGCGAGAGCTGCCCGCCTGACGTTGTCGCGCGACGTTGCACGTCCACCGTGTGACTGTTCGTGCCAAGTTGCGATCGATCGAAATTCCTTCGCATCACGCCACCAATTCCAACGTCAGTGCATGACGATGCGTAACTGCTTGGCCGCGTGCGTTACCGTTCTTGTGCAGTTGCCGTCCCTCGCGCCTGCTCTGAATCACCTCTCTACTCGCCGTCTTCGTTACCGTCGTCGTCGACTCTAACGCGACTCGTAACTGACCATAAACCGCTGCCTGGTCGTTCTTTCAGACCCACCAGCAGTGCGCCCGCGCATCCCGGCTACATCGTACGATATTCGAGTAGCGAATAATAGAATAGAGCGTTACACTCGGTAGGTGGTGGAATAGTGGGAATCTGTCGCACGAGGCCGATCAGACCGACAGTTAGTTAGACCGTTCATTGGCACTCGCGTTTCGTCTCGAATCTTGCGAATAGAGGTAGAAATATGATGACGCGAGCTACACCGCAAGTTGCGAAGTGTTACTATCAGCTGGTTCTGTACCATCGTACAGAGAAGCATGGAGCGCGCACGCAGAGCGCATTGATCGACCAAGCCAGGGTCTATACCTAGCCTTTCTCTCTGCGTCTCTTTCCTTCGCGTGGGTCAGAAAAGAGACGGGATGAGCAACAGTGGTCGCTTGTAGATACTCAGTCAGACAGCTAGGAACTAGACCGACCGTTGGTTATCGCGGGTAAAAGCAGAGAATCCGATTCCCAGTGACCGTAACAGCTCTTTGTCGTGTGTTGAGGAAAATAATATAACAAGAGCGCTTGTTAAGTTAACAAGTTATATATTATTATATATTATTACGTGTGTACACATATTGAATATTGTTTCGTTACAAGATCCATAGATTGTAAAATGGTGTTCAATTGTGTAAAATTACGTAATCATTGTATCAACTCGATATTTGAAGAATATACCGATCGATCAAACCGATGGTTGGTTATTACATATATAAAGAGAGGGAGGGTTTTGGGGTAATGTCTTTTCTCTCTGAAACGTTAATAATAATAATAATAAATTTATCGGTCCTAAAAAACAAATAAGTAAGAGTAATATAATACAAAAATGAAAATAAAAATAAAACCAGCATCAGGGATGCCAATAGGCAACAGGACGTAATTAAGAGGGAGTAGGGGAGCGCTTGCTCACCCCTAAACTTTGGCAAAGTAGAAACTATTAAATTATGAAAATCATAAAAGTGAAAAAATGTAACTAACACATTACAATCTACATTTTATAAAAAAAAGTACAAAAAAGAACGCTGCATGTTCTGTAACTAGAAACTAAAGACAAAGTATTAGTAACACTTTATGAAAATGGATGTAATGAAAATTTCTCAATTTCATTACCACCGTTCCTTGGCCCTGTGCGTAATGAGCACCATTTAAAAAGTTTTAGTACGATCTTTTTAATTGCGATTTTTTAGTACATTGCAAAGGGTGGAAATCTAGTTGCAGTCGATAATGTCAGAAAATCGCCTCAGTGGACTTTGTATGCTAAGTATATACAGAAAAATGATTCTCGTGAAAAGAAAGTAGCTGGAAGAAGAAATATTAAGAAAGTTTACTGAAGATCCGCAAAGACTGGCTTTTAATATAAGTATGCTAATAAATTCCTTTCTCGACTGAAATCCTGGCTACGCTTATGCCAATAGGCGAGGCAAATAGTAATGTGGCTGATACGACTGCCTTACCTGCGAATAGAACGGAAAGGCCGATTAAGTATCACAAATGAGAAGAAGTATTAAATATAAATATTTGTTGAAATAACGAACGCGGAGTTGGTTGATAAGGGAGGGTCTCTCGATATTTTATCTCACGATTATATAATAAGGTTCGGCGCGAATATATATACTTCGGTATTTACTCTTACTATCTTTTCAACTTAATATCTCTCTCGTGGCCGATATATGTACTAAAACTGTAAGAATTGTAAACCTGTAGCACGTTTAAAAATGAACAGATTACTGGAATGTACGTAAGTGATTCGAAATTGCCGCCGAGATAAATAAATGGGTTGGGCTGCGTCCGAAAAATTTTACCTGAGCCCACTGTAGGTGCACCTGTCGAAGTTCGCGCCGTTCGGAGAAATATTTGGGAAACAATTAAATTATGCGCCAGTGTGACAAAGGTGATATTATTTGAAAACTGGGTATGCTTCAGGAGGTAAATTTTCTACCCTAAAAATTTGGGGTGAATACGGTGATTTTAATATTTGCGTTTGTAATATTTTAAATTGTGGCAATAGATTGCAATCAATTTATTAGAAGAAAGACACACTCTCTTAAATTGAATCAGTGAAAATGACACTAATTGAGTCGGCGACACAGTATACTATCGATAATGCATTTTGCAGCGCAATTTTACTAATTTGTAGAGCTATACTTATAACTGACCACCAGTACTGTGACCGCTAGATTATTGACTGCTTCTCAGTGATAATAGATTGATTGCATTTTCAAGAGTAGGTTGTGTACTGACGAAGATAACCAGCCGATATACGATCTCCGGGGATCTTTGATAGTATTTGGTGAGATAAACGATAAATTTGTTATTTGCAGTTTGGAAACTATCCGAACTTGGAATCCTATCCTCACTATCTTCACCACCATTCATTCTGCTCTGTCCTGCTCTACTTACAAGATAATATTTCCTAACACAGCCTTGCTAAACTTTAATTTTCAAATAGATACGGAATAGCGTTAAAAGCTGAATTAAATTTTAGATTTCTGAGATTCATTTGCGGGAAGGATTTCACAAAATCGACAATAAATACATTTTTCAGTTTCGTCAACATTCGATTTATATTATGGTATATGCATATACATGAATTAAATCTTAAATAAAATTTGCATAAAAGTAAACTGCACACTTAAAATTAATCGAAAACGAGGCTTTGTGTTAGCTGTTGGAAGCTTCATCGTAATTCAAAATCTCTTAATTACAATGTCAAATTGTCGCGCGATCAACGTGCTTCCTGTAGAATTTGCATTAAAAAAAAAATAGAGTCCAGATTTTGTTCGGAATTTTTTATTAAGAATTCATGCGGTAGGAAACTGAATAACCAACGCGTCGCGCCACGAGTGCCTGTGACGCACATATTTCTTTCACGCTCTCGTCGTAATTCGCTTAAGTACAGTTTGTACTAGTACCCGAAATAAAGGATATGAATCGTTAAATAAAAATTTGAGTATCACGTTTAATATGTCGACGTACGACGTTTTTGTCACGTGTAATTGACTCGTTAGAGACGTTTTTAAGCAAGCATTACATTCAAGACTGTGAGATATTTGCAACGGAAATTATGTCACACACACGTCTAATATACATAATTGAATTGCTCATCTTAAAAAGGATCCTAAATATGTCAGAAAATTCAGAAAATAGATTTTCATATTTGTACACAGGATGATCCATTTAAATCGAGCGTCTTTAATATTTCACTTGTTTTTGATGATATGAAAAAAATGTACGAAAAAATGTCTAAGGAAAAAATTGCACTGTTCGAGGAGGCAATTATGGAGATAAAAGCACTTCTATTAAAAAAAAAATTATCTTGACTTTCAAATCTCTGAAAAAATGACCTTGAAAAAATTTTTTGTCATCGTAATTGCTTCCTCGAACGGTACAATTTTTTCTTTAAATATTTTTTCGCATCACTAAAACAAATGAAATATTTGAGGATTTCAATTGACCCTGTATTATTTCAATTATTGTGGTAAAAGCAAAAATAAAACTTACCTTATTTATTAGAATGAATAAGATATAAAAACATAATGAAATTGTTACAGCTGTATTATAATATTGTGTAACGTGTAATCAAATATTTCTTGTTTTTCCTAAAAAGTAAGGATCGAATGATCTGTCCTTTTTAAGATGACTGATTTAATTATATGTTGCAAAATCTTAAACAATAATTTTTTAAATCTTTAGTTATTATCTTAACGGCAACTGTTAAATATTAAAAATAAACCGGTGGTTATCCTTTATTCGGAATATCATACATATTGCATAAATGCTTGAAAAGAAATCTACAAGCTGCAGTAAGTGAAGTCATGGACGATCGAGAAGAGAATCAGTGAAGTTTTCTGTTTTATTTACATCCTAAATTGAATCTTAATTGAATCTATGGAGGTGACAATCGTTAGCAGTTGTGTGGAATCCGGAAAAAAAAAACCAATAGTTTCGAATCCCAATTGATTTCCGCGCGACTCTCTCCTGGAGTCTAAAAGTCGCGGTACAAGCTTTGCTAAACGTTACTGCCAATCATTGTAATTACGAATTGTCGTCCCTAAATAAATCCTAATAGGCTCGGAATAGAAGATTTGCAATCCCGAACTCTGACGAAGATGTTCCGCCGGAACTGTCACGCACCTTGAATTTTGACGTATTACTTGCTCTGAAGTTTCGCAGACTTTGGTGTCCTTTTCACAAAATAATTCACGTAAATTCGACGATTCGCTAGCTCGTTCATCAGCGTGTTGGTAACGCATATCACGCACCGGTCCCGTAAGAGGACCTTCATTGCGTCACTTCTGTCTTCGATGAGGTATTATCGAGATATCTCGTCCGTCTCTTGCATTAAAAAGGAGAAAAAAACATCGTGAGATCACAACTGTTCGGATTCGAAGGCCGAATTATCTATGCCATTCATCATCTCGGCTTTTGACACGCTCTTCTGCGTGTCTACGATTCGGGTGTTCAGTGCCTTCGAATTGTGATCGGCCGTGTCCTCGTTCTTATGATTGGTCGTAGCCTCCAGGTCCTTCTGTTCTCTCAGAATACGATCCTTTCGGTGCTCCGTGTACAACCAACTGATTAAACATACGCGCAACCGTTACACTAATGTAATTTGCACATTTTCTTTGAACGATCAGAGGAAAAATCAGATCAGACATATGGAGGATCCCGAGTCGCAATTTTAGTCCTACATTAAGTCTACTGAGTTCTGCAATAAATTTTCAAGTGGAGGAAACGGAAATAACTCCCCACTTGTAGTATCAAAGAAGTACAATAGAAGACTTAATGTAGAACCTAATAAACTTAAAAGACTTAATATAGAACTAAAATGTCAACTCGGGATAACACTGCAATATTTGAAGAATATTTTCCATGAGTTTAAAACGTGAGTCAACAAACATAATTCTAATCTTATTATATTATAAGATACGACATGTGCAATCCGATGTTATCAGATTTGGAGCTTTAACACGTTGACTGCCAACTACGAGATATCTCGTAGGTTGTTTACTTGCCCAGGATGCCAACTACGAGTTATCACGTTGCTTCATTACTTGATTAAATAAAATTGGCTTCTTAGACCAGAATCGTAAAAAGTTCCGTGGCAGTCAACGTGTTAAGTTGCATCATTGTTACGCTGTTATTGTACGTTTGATGATTGATGATGTTTTGACCCGTGCGTGTAAAGATTATCTTGTTAGATTTGACGCATTTCATCACTTGTCGAAAATAACGATTTCTTAATTCTAAATTAACTCGCGTCCTGGTCCTATTGTCGAAATGAAAGGCAGACGAAAGTGCATCGCGAATACTCACAAGAATGCGAAGACAGCGGGCATCGTCATGCATCCTCCGGCGATGAAGAATGTCCCCGGAAATGTATTCATGGTCGCCGCATAAATGGCGCTGTACATGGGCCCGTAAACGAGCGGCATCAGGGACTCGCACACACCGAACAACGAATTCACCTTACCTGCGGAATTACGTAATACGTCTTAGGCCACGAAGCGAAACAAATCGACGAATAAAAACTACGCCGTGTCGAATATATTTCCCTCTGTACGCGCGCGTGGATCGTTAGCGCCGGGCAGGAAGCCCTCGTTAGGTCCAGTTCGCGGTTACGCAGGAAAAATTAGCACTGTCGCCAGCGATCGCGGTAATTTGGCACCGAAATTATCCGACTTACGCGGTTACGGGAAGCGGCGTGAAGGTGAAAAAGACCGAAAACGCTTCTAAAGCGGGACGGTTTTAGTGCAATAAGTCGTAATAGAACTCATTCTAAAGACGGTCGGTCGTCCAACGTTCTTCGTCCAGATCCCAAGTGCGGGAGGTGTATGCGGGCTCAGGTTCACCTAACGTTATTGGCTGGAAGAAACTTTTCTCGCGCGATTTAAACGAGGACATTCCCCCGCTTCAGGAGTTGAACGACTCCGAGAGACTCTTGACGATGTTTCCTACATTTGTTGTTTTCTTCTCTTTTTCTTACGTAGTTACATAACATTTCGAAGAAGCGTGGAAACGCGAGATCATCAGGGATGGTGAAGCGCAACAGGTGTTTCATTTTCATTTTTATGTGCATCCGCTTACCCAGTTCGTCCGTAGGCACGAGCTTAGAGGCTATCGATCGCATGGCGATAAAGGACGTCCCGTTCACAATCTCCACGATAGCGGCTGAAACGTGCGATTAATCCATTGTTAGGGATATTTATAGAACGATATTACGGTGCGCGATAATTCGGTAGACATGTGGCCGTTACCCAGACGTGTTAGACGCTTTGAAAAGACTGACCTACGTAAACCATCCAGTCCGTAGTGGCGAACGCATACACGAAACCTGCTAAGATTTTACTCATACAGCTCATTATACCCACGATCGCGTCGTCTATCTTGAGGATGTGGCTGAAGATGCCGACAGAGACCGCGGTTCCTGCGTGTCACGAGAAAAATTCTGTAATTCTTTGGTACAGCAAACCGTGACAATCATGTTTAAAGTAATAGGAATGCCGTATTTTCAGTGGCGCATCAAGGAGACTATTCATAAATTTAGTATCTATCAAGCAAAATTACATTCCTATACATTTATTTTACTAAAATAATAAATGTTAATTTGAAACGAAGTTGAGGTAGACGCATCCGCACGGAAAGTTTTCTGGGATCTGATTGAAATCTATTCCGATTTTTCCAAAAGAATGGTGGATTCTGATCGGGAAGTCTCTGAAGATTCGAATGAAAGATGTAATGTTTCAAAAGTGCCATTCTAAATGGAAAACCCAGACAGATTCCACTTGCTCTGTTCAATGTTCTACTAAAGATTTTTTATAATTGGATAAGAATGAAATTCCTAATTGGTAACACAATATATTTGGGACAAGTTTGGATAATCTGATCAAAATCTATGCTATGTTTGGGGGTGTTTGAGAAATTTCCATACGGATATATTACAATATTATTTTATATTTCTCTTATTAATGCTATTTTTATTCAGTTGATCTGATAGAGATGCACAGATAATAGAAAGAGGTATATAAATATTCTAATTTGTGCACATACACATATATTTCGAATATACTATAAGTTATGAACTTTACACCGCTGTATTTTCAAAACAACTCAGCAACTGCTGAAAAAATATATGAAATTTCTACCAGGGCCAAGGAACATATAAAACGTGTAATTTTCAGTTGTGAATATCTCAGCTTTCGAATGGTCAATCGTTTTCTAATTGCGTCAATAATTAGGTCATGTTTAAATCTATATACAGTGCAATAAATTATTAAAAAACTCATTTTATGCTACCACCTTTAAGTAGTGAACCAATGAGTGTGAATGAGAATTAGCGCAAAGAGAAGTGCAAATAACTCGAGAAATTAGATGTGAGTTGGCTAAACGAAAACGTGAAGGTGCTAGAGAAACCGAATTGCGCGCTAAAATTGAGTGAATTGCGTGCGAAAATAGAAAGTTCTCGCTATACCGTACGTCGGATACGGTAAAGGCTAAACTTTTACACTGCGAGACGAAGCCACGACTAGTTCTGAAGATTATCATATTTTGCGTACATTATCATTTATCACAAGCGGGCAACTTGAAAGACGGCGTCAACATTTATGAAACGCGCTGTTGCAAAATATCTGTATATGCGTCTCAACACTATCTCATTATCGTTGCGCATAAGTTGCTCGCTGCTCACTAACACGAACTGACACGAACAATGAAATTTTCTCAAGGTAATCTCTGCCTTCCACGATTCATCGGAATTAAAGCGATAATCGCAGCGGTTCCGCTTAGCAACGATATTTATATTCTTATATAAGCTACGTCGCCCGTTACTTTCATCTCGACAGGAGCTTCGATTATACTAATGAGCGCGCAGCGGTATCACGAGTAACAGAACTAACGGATATCTGCGATTTGCGAAAAATGACGGTCGGTCGGCCGACGGAGATTACTGGCTCCAAATGATCATACGGTGCGCGCAGTATCGTGTCCACGTGTGACGATCGACGGAAGATCTATATTGTTATTTCACGGCCGAATTCACTCAGGAATTCATTCAGGAATCGTAAAACTTGATTACGTGGGAATTTCCACGAATTTCTAGTTACCACTCACGTGCATGTGTGCGAAACGACTGTGTTCTCACGTATTGTTAATACGCAACGTTTGAGGCGATCTTACCGATTAGATTAGTTACCATGCCGAACGTGGAGAACATGCTGAACGTCACTTCGTTCCAGTTGTATCGGTACCGCATGTAAAGATACAGGACCGCCATTTCGCCTGAAAGAAAGGAAAAAAAAAGTTAATATTTTTTTATCACAGTCACGCCTCTGACGTATTTTAATCGGAAACGATTAAGCACGCCACTGACATCGATTGTATCGGCGGTAAATGAAAAAATTATAATTGACGCGTGCAGCCGTAAAAAAATATATTCATCCGATCCGATTTCTGTTGAGTAATCCTTCCAGCTCAATCAATCAGTCCTTTTATATTTAGTAGTTGCGGTTGTACTTCGCTCGAGCCTCTCAATACGTTGCTCATTAACATTGTATACGAATAGAACGTTGCACAATTCTAATGACTTCTGGGAATCTCGGTTTAATTAAGTTTCCCCTCCGAGCTATTGTTGTCATTTTTCACACGAGCCCGATCGTAGCGAGTTCGCCATTGCGTGTAATCCTTTATTGGATATTTATGAAATTCGTGGTTATCGGCTTAAATGCATGGAGGAAAGTTTTACTGGGATAGCAAATTGCTTATTAATATAATGACAGTGAAAAGATTTATTACGCGGAAAAAATAATTTTACAGTTTTAGCAAAACGTTGTTGCCTCAGCGATAAAATTTAGTTGGTATGATCAAATTATCTTGCTGTCCATTTATCCAGCAAATAACAACTAATAGTCTGAACAAATCTTTATATTGTCCAAACAAATTTGTTTGTTATATTAACAATTTGTTGTTCTATCAAAATTTGTTTTCTCCGTGTGGTGTTAAACAAAATCAATTCTTTGCATGAATTTAGCCGATTTTCGAGCATCACGACAATTATAATTAAAAATGAAAATCTTTATGAAATACACAGTTGGTGTTAAAAATTTGTGACTGTCTACGTTAAATATCTATAAAATGAACTTTAAAAATTATGAAATTGTTTGTTCGTCTGGCTTTGCGGAAGCTCAACTTGCATTTTCATTTGTAATTCTTGACACACGGGTTTGCAACTTGCGCTCTCCATTTTTGTGTATATAAAAAATACAGCCACTGTCGATGTAGCGAATTCGCACACGTGGACTTACTAAAACACCGTATTTTGCGAGAGCCCGCTGCGATGTATCATGGCAATATTTTGCGAATGCAGCCAAGCACGACGGTTTAACGTTTTCTTTTCAATTACAAACGATTTTCAAGCGATTACATAGACAAGCAATTAGACCAACAATTGCTTCCTGTAGCAATACCGAGTTAACTGCGAAGGAAGGTCAAATGCAACGCCGGTATTATGTAAATGTAAAACGATGCTCTTTCGTAAAAACTACGGACATTCCATGGAGATGTACATACGATTCGAGATGCCTGCCAGACTTTATGATCTTCGCTCGAACACGATCCTCTCGGGAGAAAATGCGCACGCGCATCTCTGTCGAATTCTCCAGTCAACTTTAATCGGCACGATTGCACGATCGGTTCGGCTAGAAATTGCAGATTTCGTAATGCCTTCTGCTGAAATCTGTTTTCATCGAACGTCGGCTTACTTTTGCGGACGCGATATTCGCGACTTATCGTTTCGCAAAATTATAATGAAAATATATCTAGGACATGTGACACGGGTAAGCTTTTTTGCGGACGCGATATTCGCGACTTATCACTTCGCAAGATTATAATGAAAATATACCTAGGACACGTGACAGTCGGACTTTCACCGTATAATTCTGACGGTCAAAGATCTGAAATTACATTGCGGCATACGTATAACCGCGTTCGAACGAAACATAAGTATATAGTGCCGGAGATTGCATGCAAATAAGTATATATTTGTTTTTGTGTGCGCTTGTTTATATGTCAACTGTACACCGCGACGTCACGGTGAACGTTTGAAATTTCGCTATCGTGAAATACGTTGTAAAATATCTTCTCATATTACACGATTTGCATATTTATTCGAAAATCGGAGAGAGGAAAGCGGGTAAATATATCACAATCGATTCTCTATATTTTACACGTTTTCACGCGCGAATATTTCGCTATCGTATCCGACTGCATGAAAACACACAAGGATTTATGATTTTTTTCACTCCTTATCCGAGCAAGAACGGTCGTTTGAATATAATAAGAATAGCTGTAACCGTAAGAATAATTGTCGCTATTCCTTACTGTCGTTTATACAATATCAGTTAATATTTATCAATTGTTATTATCATATAATAGCAAGAGAAATGAATTAAGGAGGTTTCAGCGCTAATTATCGTATTTCCAGTGGTGCATTAAAGGGCCTTCCATGAATTTACTATTTACTAAGCAAAATTTTTTTCTACATTTATTTTACTAATTAAATAATGAATGTTAACTTGAAATGAAACTGTAAATATAAACAATATTACAGATACGGAAATATTATTTTTTATTTTTCTTATATTAATTTATAATGCTATATTTATGCAGCGGTTGATTTAATAGGGATGCGCGAATAATAGAAAGAAGTATATAAGTGTTTAAATATATGCTTAGATATATTTGTGTATCTTGAATATTACTATTAAATATATATATTAAATTATCAACTTTCTTAATATTACAATAGTCTTTTCAACTTCCATCTTATACACAAATATGTCAAATTAGAAGAAATTTGGCATCTTATAAGGTCTCTATTCTTGCACACGTACAAGTTTCTAATTAAATATTTCGGCAACAATACGGTGATGAAATTATTGAAATTTCTGTCACACATTGTTAGTTCGATTAATTATTGCATCATGTATATATAGCCAAACGCTTGAACCTCCTTAAACCCGTTCAAGCCTAGAAAAGTCGAATAAATCAACTTCTGATCGAGTGTTTATGTGTATATTTTAACGCTATTCTTGTCCGAAGAGACATTAGACCCGAGCTACCGGGGGCCGATTGATACCGCTCGCCCAGCTGCGCTACAAAAATAGGTTGGCCGGATAAGGGTTAATTACACGGCTCTTGAGACGTGCCGCGTGGCCGACGACGACAACGAGAGAGTTAAGAAAAGTGAGTTCTTACGGGGTCGTACAGGTATATCGCGTTGCGGCATTCAAAATCAGGAAGACGCCCATTACACGAAATTGTTATAAGCGTGACGACTGCCCGCGTCACTTAGCAGTTGGATAATACGTACTAATGCGTACCCAGACATTGTAATGACGGGCTACCTATATAATTAAATTGTGACAAGGGCATCCGCGAAATGTGCTGAAATTGTGCGTCGCCGTACGAGCGCGCACGATCGCATTAAAGTCGCGATAGCGCGCTGTAACAAATGCGCGCTAATTGAAAAATTGAATGATTTGAGTGGTCGCGTGCTTGGAAAAGCTGCTGGCTGAAGCCAGAGGCGTTGCTACTGATGCTGTCCGATATCGATATCGGATGTTTAACGCCGAGGAATGTTACCGTACCGGTGCGTTCTCAGCGCCCGTTTTGTTTTCCGTCGGACATCGTATCCAATATTTACGAGTGTTTTATTGATACCCCGAACGAGCTGTGTTTACGTATTACTTTTTATTTGTTGGCTATCTATTGACCCGCGGTTTTAACACACCGTTTTAACAACGTTCCAACCGTACGATATTAAAGTGCATCGATGATATGCGTGAACGAAGATATCGACGTAACTGTGTTGACGTTGCAGTCCGAAACTATTTAATATTCTCGTTAGAAACGTGAAAAATAGTATTTCGAAGATACGATCTTTTACACACCTGCTTTACAATTTCTGCCATGTCGAGTATGCTAACGAGTCTCTATCGAAGTCTCTATCTGCCGTTACGCGCCGGAGATGCATATTTATTTATATTCACGTAGATTTATGAATCTTATCAAATTTATGTGCATATCAATATCTATTGTCTTCATTATCTCTAACACATTGCGACATATGTGAACTTTCGATTTTTTCGATCTTACCGAATCAATTATATAATGATATATTGTTACACGGCGTAATTAAGTTCCCTTTTACCACGTTCGTGCTTACGGCACCGATATGAAAACTTTGATTACTGGTTTCTTTACCAATCCATCGATCGTTTGATGCGAAGATTTATCGAAGTTCCAGACTTTCAACGCTCGATGCGACACGCAACGTATTTCTTTCGCATGTCGCGAAGCTTCGTGTAGATACATATAATAAATTCCGTCTAATACATATTCTCCTACACGTTCGCAAATTGTTGCAAATTTTTGCAAATTTTACTCGTGCATAGTTATTTCCGGTGCTTAACTGCCAAATTTCTTTTTGAAATTTTTAGCCGGACTATATATATGCACAAAAAGTTGTGTAACAGTATAATTATATTCAAATTATGTTTTGTTCTGAGCCTCAAATGGAGATCGTGGCAGCTAATGGGTTAAGGACACACGAATTACACGTGGAAGGTGTACACGTCGAAGCAAAGTCGCGCTCACGGCGCTCGGATAGCGCGTGTCTAGCTTTGCACATGTCTTTTCTTACTTTCCCCTCATACACGACATATTCACACCGTCGGGCGTAAGTAATTACCTATGGGAATGCGCACGGTTACGCGCAACGCAAGTAGCGAGATTAACGAGAGTTACGGCAGGTTTTTACCGCGTCGCGGATGCACGCACGCGAAAAGCGACGGGCGTTTAATTTTCAACCATCACACACACACACACACACACACACCAGTTGTCTCGGCTTTTTCCGCTTAATTTGATCGAAGCGGGAATCTTTCGAGAAATTTCAATAAAGATATCAGAAGACACGGTTTGCGCATTAACGCTTGATAAAAAGGACGGCAAGTTCAGCGACGTAGAGGAAGCGCTTCGAAGCTAATGTCTCTCACGGCGAAAGTGAAAGATCATCTCTCGGGCGCTCCTCCTCGAGGACAAACGCGGTTTTCCCGGCGCTGAAGAGCGCTTTTGCCGCAAGTAGCGCGACTCAAAACGATACACGACGTTGTAGGATCGCGACGGCCGTGCGACGTCGGGAGGGTGAGACGCATGGCGCCATGAGCGGGGCGAATCATCGTCTTGCTCGGCCTTTAATAATCCTGGCTCTTTTTTCGCCCGTGATTGAATAATCTTGCGTCGTCGCCGGCGTTGAATGGCGAGAGAAGCACCGCGAGCGGAGGGTATTTATAAAAGATCCGGACCGACTCACCGTAAAGGGGTCCGATGACGACCATAACAATGACCATGAGCACGATGACTCTCTTCTGCCGGTTGTTCGCCCCATTCCTGAACGCCACGCGGAACGTCTCCTCGATGTGCCGCAACGAGAAGAAGTCGAGCACGAACGCGCTAACGGAGGTGCGCGGCTTAGGCTCCCTCGGCAGGGCCTTCCTCCGCGCGCGTTCCGCGAGCACCCGCGGCGGCTCCTTGATCACCACCAGGCCGTACACGAAGCTCATGATGTAACACACCGCGGTGATGCTGAACACCCCGTAGAAACCGAGCTTCGTGTAGAGTATCCCGGAGAGGGCCATGCCGATCGGCACCCCGAGCGACAGGAAGACGTTGGCCGCGCCGATCCTGAGCGTCCTCGACTCCACGGACGTGATGTCCGCGATGTAGCTGAAGATGCCCATGAACATGGTGAACCAGCCGCCGGTCAGCGCGGGCCAGAGCGCTTCCAAGACGACCGTCTCCATGGGCAGCTCGTCGAACCAGTAGGTCAACGCGATGAGGGTGACGCTGCTGAAGAACTCGCCGACGATCGGCAGCAGCATGCAGGGCTTCCTCAGACCGGTGCGGTCGCTCCACGCGCCCATGAAGAGGATCAGGATGGTCGGCAGGGCGCTCTGCAGCGGCGTCTTCCACGTCTGCATACGCGCCACCAGCTGTTGCACGGCGGTCTCCTCAGCCTCGTAGCCGGTGGTGTTCCTCGCGGCCAACGCCGAGCACACCTCGCCCGGATAAGCCAGGTTCACCCGGCAGGCCTTCTCGAGGATGAGGTTCTGCACGGCCAGGGAGGAGAGCACGCTCGGTATCACATAGCACGCGACCATCGGCTCGACGGTGATGTTGCTGGTGAGGAAGGACCATTTCTGCCGGACGCTCATGGACTTCCAGGTGACGGCGCGGTCGGACTTCTCGGGGTTCGCTTGCTTCTTCTCGGGCGTTACCCCAGCAGGCGCACCTTTCGCCGTCGTGATCTCGGACATGTCTCGGTCGAAGGGAGGAGGGTCACTCTCTACGTCTGGTGCGAGGGGACGAGCGAAGTCATATATGCGCGGGCCCTCCTCTTCCGGCAGGTCGATAGCGCGATCACGATCGAGAGAGATCCCGCGCGGACGGGCTGCGGCACGCGGCTCGAAGCGACTCGCTCCGTGAACGACACGGTCCGGGGAACGAACGACTCTCTCGATAGCGGCCTCCGGGAGCCAGCCGGCCTCCGCGGATTTCGGTTCGGTCGTTTCGCGCGCGCGGAGAGAAATCGCACGGTGGTCCCGCGACTCCCGGCTAATGCACCATCGTGCATTACGAGACGTGTTCCTCTCTCTCTCTCTCTCTCTCCTTCTCCACGCCGGTCACCGCCAGCAGCAGCGTCCACCTCCTGGTACCACCTCCTCTTCCGCCCGTCTTCGGGGCTGGTCAGCGCTCGCTGCCGTTCTCCTCTTTCAGCCTCCGGCGCCGCTTCTGCAGCGCGCGAGATCCGTCTTCGCGTGCATCCACCTAGGCACTAAGCCGCACGCGGTGTTGTGCCCCCTCGGCCGCGTCTCTATATGTCGTAGTGTCGCGCGCGCGGGCCTAATCGGCTGCTACGGTACAATTCGAGCGACACGCGGCTAATACCCAACGACGAGCACCGCCTCCCGTCTGTCGCGCGGAGCGTCGCTTCCGATTCCGACCGCGCACCGCGGAATTTTTCGGGTCAAGGTCACACACTCGACTACGACGACGTTCGCGTTCACCGACGGTGGTGTCCGAGGCCAGGGGTCTTCCCACCGCGCCTTCTCGCCCGGTGGACCGCTATTCTCCGCCGACGATCGCGCCTTCGCTCTTAATCATCCTCTCCTTTGGCGTGAAAAACATCCGACCGGCGACCTTACCTTGATGTTCCGGGCATAACGAGTCGCGAACTCTGCGACCGGGCCGCGTGTCGAGGTCTAACTCGACTTCAGCATCGGTGACATGTCGACGAACGTACGGCGCGTGATTATTATCGTGTTCATCTTCCTGCCTACGGAGTACTTGTTCCTGCGTCGGCGGATTATGACCTTCTTCGGCTTCATGTATCTCACGATTCGACGGTACATCGTTCTCCCCCTCGTGAGCAGTGACCGATCCCCGCCAACAGTCACGTCGAAGGGTACAGCAACGCCGAGCCGTGATCCCGAAGTCCTCGGGTCGTCGTCGTCGTCGTGCGCGCGCGCGCGCGCGCGCACGAGGTCTCTCCTCTCTCGGTGCGAACGTCCTCGGGCTCTCCTCGGCCGATATCAGCTTTCGGCTCGCGGCTGCTCACAAAGCCTCACCTGCTGCGAAGTGCGTTGCGCAAGGTGTGCGATCCATCCGAGTGATCGAGCGATCCTCGATCCTCTTGTCGCAAGGGTTCCTTCTGCGAGTCGTGAACCCTCAGATTATCCGGAAGCGTTTTCTCTCTTGGCGGAGGGTGCCGTGCAAACAGTCTGGCACAGTCGCGCGAAGACGAACATCTTCGATCCGCCTGACGGGAGCGCGTCGGTTTCTAATGAGAGAGCGAGCGAGAGAGAGAGAGAGAGAGACGCGGAAGATTCGTCGGTTTCGGCGGACGTTAGTCGCGGGCGAGACTCGGTCGACGCTGCACCGGCGATCGCGCCCGACGTCGACGATGTCGAACGGATGGCAACCGAGAGTAAACAGGGAGCGTCGTCGAATCGCTGTCTCGCGCGCGCGCGTAACTCGACGAGGCGCTGTTAAATGTGACAATTCGTTGATAAAGTAATCGCACGACGCACGGTCCCAGCGTTCTCGACAGTCGGAGCCTATTTTAGACAGGGCCGTCCATCTAGGCGCGATTATCCGCGACTTAGGTGAATTCGAAAAGCCGTCCCTCCGCACGACTCGCTCTCGCTCGCGACTCGGCCTGCCACAATTGCGTTGTCGCGCGTTTACACGCTTTGCCGAGCGGCGCGTCACGCGGCTCGCAATTCTCCACGACGCGCCGCTCGACCGTACCGGCGATATCGCGCGCGTCGAATTCTCTCTCTCTCTCTCCCTCCCTCTCTCTCTCCCTCTCTCTTTCTCTCTCTCTCTCTCTCTCTCTCCCGCGCAAAATTGTCCCCCCGAACGGGGCACCGATCGAGCTGCAACGTCTCGCTCGTCCTTGGGCCGATCGAGGTCCGGGCTCGACGGTGCGAAAATCCATCGGCGAGTCTGCGGTAGAGACGCGGAGCCGCGAGATCGGCGAAAATCCGCAAGGTCGCGCGTCCTAGCGACGAAAGACACCTAGAGGCGGCCCTGGCTCTTAAGTCGATCATATGACGTCGTCAAGTGAGTAATGCTCGCAATTCCAGCGATGCTTATAAAATATTCGATGCTGTAACGGCATCTCTGTCTTGATGTTCGACCGACGAGGATGCATCGGTGGTCGGCATCGCCCAAGAACCATCTGGCAGATTCTGTGATCCCCTTTGGCGATCTCCCCGGGCGATCTCTGCTTATGGCGCGGCACTCTCTAGAGTGCAATCAGTGTGTTATCACTGGAAAGCAGTCAATAGTCACTGATGGTCGTAGTTATAAGTATAGAGCTGCAAATCAGTAAAATTTCGCTGCAAAGATCTGTTTATAGCAACTGTTTCCATCGGAGGAAATCCATTTAACTGCAGAAACAGTGAGAAGAAGTCTTATTTATTATTTCTCTTTTATTATCTTAATCCCGTTCTTAAGGTATTGTCAATGAAATATTCTTATAATTATGTTTGATTGATTTAATTTACATTGTGTTTGAAAAACACGCTTATCCTGATGGGACTCGAACTCGAAACCTTTAGCATTTGAGTCTGCTATCATACACGGAAGAAAGGAATTAGCTGTCCATATAATACAGCTGAAATTCAGTTACCAGATCTAATTTTTAACTATGGTAGCTAAAAACTAGATATAGGGATGAAAAAATTAACTAAATTAATTTAATTACAGCTGTATTATACGAAAACTTGAAGAAAAAAAAAAAATATATATATATATGTATATATGTATATATATGTATATATGTATATATATATATATATATATATATATATATATATATATATACATTTGTGCTACGGAATGAATAACAGTAATTTGTAATCTTTCACTGGTTGAAATCAGTAAAATATCAGACAAAAGAGCTGAATGGAAGAGTTCCCACAAAAATTAGTGAATAGTCACTGATTATCGGTAGAATACTCTTTCACTGATTCAATTAGTGACATTTTCATTGATTCAACTTAAAAGTGATTAGAGTCGCGATTTTTCCGCGGTGATCAACCGGTTATTTCCTATAATTAATGACGCTGAAAGGTTCGTAGATACGTTGCGAAGCGAAGTCCCGTTGTTATACCATCATCGAGAATCGACGCGTTTCCTATTCTATTCTTGTCTAACTGAGCCGTCGACAATCGTGGCGATTTTTAACAATGACGACGATATAACCGTGGAGTCGGCTAATGATCGATTCCGTATTCAGCGCGTGAAACCACTTTCAATTTTTTCCTTGTCTATCGAATTAAGCAGACAGAAACGATTTCTCTTATATGCATTTTTTCTTCGATGTGATACAACGCTCCTGGCCTTGCTTACTCGTGAAGTGTTTTGTTGATTTTCATAGGCTGTTCCAGTTTCGATGTTTACGCTCACTGACAACAATGGCATATTCTTTTTCCCAATGTTATGCGTTTTTGTATATTTTTATGCAATTATTTAGCAGTGCACAGTGCAATTAAGTGCGGAATTTAACTATAAAACACGTGGAAAGCAATTCGTTTTGCGGGAAATCATTATCTCAAACGAGGGAGAAAGTATGAAAAGAGAGAGTAGTGGTATCTCTTAGTACCACGATTAAAACAAAATGCTTCTTACTATTATTTGTTATAGCGTTTTCCAAGATTTGGGATATTACACAGGTCGACAAAAAAATTATTGTCGAGTAACTTTATTCAGAGGTGTTTCTTACAATTTTTTAGCGGCAAAAAATAATACCGCTGGCCAAATTGCTCCATCACGTTAGGTTGTCAAGTTATTTTGAATTTTAAAATGAGAATCAGCAATTCATAGGAAAAGAAATATATAATAAATTAGTAACCGTCAATAAAGTGATGAAAATAAATATAAATGCTTGATTTATATATTGATACCTTATTAGTAAAGGATAAAAAATCTCACAAATATTTGCTTACTAAGAATACAGTGCACAGAAAAACATGTTTTTCATTTTTGACAATTTAACGAATAGCGATTAAAGAACGAATAGTCGGATTTCAATGTCATGGGTCCTGTTAACTCTTTGTAATAAAATCTTCGCAAATTTTATTTAAAACGTCTGAGAAAAATATAATTATAAAATGTCTGAGCTAAAACATTTTTCGAAATTTAATATATTAAAATTTAATTAAATAAGAAAATTGAATAAAATTGAATATAATTAATATATTAAATTTGAACATACGAAAAGGTTCTTTTATATTTTTTTAAATAACTCACATTCTCAAATTTTGATATTTTAATAGAAAGAATATATTCACCCGATAAATATCCTGATAAAATATAATAACTAATAATAATAATAGCTAAAACTAAATAACTAATAATAGCTAAAAAAATTGCTGATTTTTCATCTTTAAATTCAAAATAATTTTAACCTTTTGAATGATAACGTATTTTCGGAGTGGCAACCAGGATTATTTATGTCTTTCTCGATTTTTTCGTTTTGAACTGTTCGAAAAAATCTCCAAAAATTATTATAACTTTCTTTATCCTTAAAGGCTACATAGCTGTTTTGTCAACAATAAATTTCGAAATATTTTGTTTATAATGATTTTATTTTGAAAAACAAACACTTCTTACAATGGCTCGGGCACAAATAACCCTGGTTACTATTCGGAGGGTTAAAACCTGATATAATGAAACAATTTTGCCAACGGCATTGTTTTTTGCGAAAATCTACAACAGAGGCCTATTTTGATTAAAGTTATTTGACAAACATTTTTTGTCGGCCTGTGTTATTTATATCTGTGGATTCTCATTTACGCAATGACGGCTTGTGATGTGCCGTGAACGACAAGTAAATAATACTGATCGTTTATGTAACACAGTACGTTGATGCAGATTATTCGTCGCTTGCTTGAAACAATGAAGCGATTATCGGGAAATTTCAATCGATTTATTTCGATAGATTTTTACAAATATTTTTAAAAAAAGGCGACGCTCTTTTTTCGCGATAATTTTCCATGCGATACGTTACGCTCTGACGAATGCAATGGTTATTACCGGATCGATTAACTTCGACCGTGTGTTTAAATTCGTGTTGCACCAGAGCGGCTTTAATCGAGTTAATGACTGACGAGCACTTCGTAATCCTTGAACGATAACTCCTCACCGTCGTAGGGAATGTATAGGCATCCGTGACTCGGTTGTACCTGAAGAAATATTTTGCGAAATAAATATTTTTTAGAAAGTTACATTATGCGATCTTGCATAATAGCAAGATGCTGGGCCACGTAGGTCGTAAGAAAATATTCCGTAAGAATATACAGCGATAATACAAAATTCACGAATCACATAGAAGACATTTCATGAGAACGCGTTATGTTTTTAAAATGTCACGAGGTAATATTTTACATTTTAAATATTAAACGTGCACACGTGTGTGCAATGCACCGTCGAGCTAATAATAGTAAACAACTGCCGAAAAGACCAACCTTGCCAACTGTTTGAGATCCGTTATGGAAGACACGGCCAATATACAGAGATTCTCCGTCTGAGGTTTGGCCAGCGACTACCGCGTCTCCTGGTACTTGACCATTACTGGCAAATTCCCATGCGAAATCGCTTTGGCAGAGGACCTAATATTATCGTAATACGTTAATTAACAATAATAACTGTAATAGAGGATGTTGTTATCGTTACTATTATGAATGACCATATGAGAGATTTTATAAAATTATACTAAATTACTTTATTATCTTCTAGTTATAAATTAAATAAAAAATTAAATCTTTTCAATTGCACCGCTCACATATTTCGTTACATACATTATCAATGTGTTTGAATGTTGGATGAATTAAATTTTCAGTTGGCTTTTACTTCACATGAATGAAACGGAAAATATTACAATTAAATTCGCGCGGTTTGCTAGATTCAATCGAGGATTGTATCTGGTTTAGTTCAAGCACTTTCTAAAAGAAATTGATATCTTAAAATATCTTAAGATTAGATTAAGATTGAGAGAAAGAATGATAAATTGACCTTCTTCTCTTTAGCACTTTATAACCGTATATACCGTATGATTTCTCAGTTATAAAACTTATTTTAATCTTGCTAACATAGATACAATTAATCCTATTGATTTTTCTATTTTTCGATTATGTACGTCGCACTGTAGTTACGTAATTTAAGAAAACTGTAATCGTGTTTAATAGCTATTACAGAATCGAAGGAAATCACTAGGAGAGACTTTTAAGCGGACATAGACCAGTCGATAAAGTTTTGCGTTGGTAAATTGTCGTGTAAATATACTAGCAAAGAAAATTGATCACGTCGTCATTTCTGTTCAGGAATCGATCATGGATCGAAACCGACATAATTTCAGTGATTGCAATTTTCCACCCTGTAGACGCAGCAAAAATGTACTTTCTCTCAATTATCGCTTTCGTGGTAATTAATAAGTGTAGAGAATTGTTTTTATATGTCCGTAGCATCAGAAGACGATTTTGTCGAAATTATAATCATTTCAGTGAGCCCAAATACTCGGCAAAAATGTAAGATGATAAATTAACGCGAAATTTGCTCGATGTGTGCACGCGGTTGGTTGCTCGAGATTTTCGCGCGGGACACGGAAAATTCGTCGATGCTTTTTTCACTCACTTCGTAATTATACTTGGGATGTTCCTCGCCTCCGTAACAAATATAAGCGACACCTTTATCAGGCATCACTTTCGCCGGCACCATATCGCCTTCATGGAAAGCTCTGCCGACGTAAATCGTAGTTCCGTCCGAATCGCGGCCACCCTGGACCGCGGCATCTGGCAGCGATTGAGCGCCGGCGCGACTTACCCACCTGTAGCCTATAATTATGACAGATTATCAGTAATGTCGATACGTAAATTAACCCTTTTCCAAATCAACTGGCTTCCCAATTTTATCTCGTTGTATCACAATAGATAGAAAATTTTTGTCGTTTAGAATTCAATGGGATTTTCGGGTTGATAAAAAAATTCCTACAAATTCTAGGCATATTTTGTAATATATGTGATGTCCAATACGATTGCTTAATTTGCTAATATAGTGACATCAAAAAAATGTGTTACACGGAAAAAATAATTTTGCTGTTGCAGCAAAACTTCATAGCGACAATAATAAAATTTAGTTGGCATAACCAAATTATTTTGCTGTCCATCCAGCAAATAGCAATTAATATTTTTAACAAATTTTTCTGCTATCCAAGCAAATATTTTTGTTGTTTAAACACATTTTTTTGTCACTGTATTAACAATTTTCTATTCTAACAAAATCTGTTTTCTCCGTGTTTCAATTTAATTTGAGTCACGCACACTTACTCAACGAAATCTTATTCTTAGTCATTCGAGAAACGAATGAAGCATTTTATCAACATGTGTTACATAACACACATGGTATTAACGATATAGACACTGGTTTCTTGTGATCGATATGAGATATATTCCCACCTGCGAGTATTTATAAACGATGATATCATGTAAAATTTTGACAAGCAACGCGATTATCAGGATATATTTTTCAAATTAAAACGACCAGTTGAATTCAACATCGGTCTCGCATTTAATTCGAGAAATAGGTGTGACAACTGTTCAATATAAAATACGAACTAAACACGGCACTTTACCAGACAAACGCACACACCTAAAAAGAACGATGATTGTTTTAACATTGAAACGTTGTTAGACTTAATTCCGTGTTAAGGCTGACTGACGCAATATTTTTCATATCACTTTTGTTTGCAACATACAAGGGGGGAAAAGGGTGAGATTTGAACGAAAGTTAATGGGAACAAAGGCCGATGGAAATGAAAGCGAAATACGATTGAGCATTTTGATGTTAAAACTCGCATTCGTCTTCACGTTATTTCCCGAAAAGAAACAAAAATTTTGCATTAACACCCGCGATTCTCCGGGCCCGATTCTCATGGGCCCATTCGTCATACGTTTGTTTAATTGTGGATTATTTTTATCGTAACCGTTATGGCGTGGACCCTCACAATGTACGTATTTCAGGTAGATACATTTTTTCACGAGATCTCTTACCTGGCATTTTGGAGAGACTGATTCGGCCCGTCTGCTGGCGCAAAACTGGATAATGCTTATCATGCCAGTACGGTGCGTTAAAAGCTCGTGTAATCTTATCTCTTGTTAATCTTCTTGTTTGCTTAAAAATTTCGCCTATCTCTGATATTCCCTCTCTCTTTCTCTATCTTCTTTTTCGTGCCTTATATACGACACGATTTGTCGGAAATCTTGTGATACGACATGTTCTCATATCTGACGCGTCCTATACTATCGCATTAGGTTACCTATAGGATAGATAATATTTTATGTCGATTGATAAAATTATTTCAACGTTGTTTCAACGAGTTACAAAATGTGAAAATGTTATGTACTTTTTATTGTGTTTTATATATTTTTTCTGTCTAATTACGCGACGTGCAAATTTATCGTATCATATAATTATGTCTACTTGAAGAATCTAGCCCAGATGAAGAAGCCGTGTAAACATAGCCGTTGGTGAACCTTTTCGGATAATCTTTTACACGATCTGTCGACGACAACGACAGCGACTTACAGGCACAGATTAAGCATTCGTATACTTTCATTACGGTGGGAAGCCGGAAATTGGCAGTTTAAGACTGAGAGAGAGGTAATTCGTTTGTCTGTATCCCTTTCCCACTCTACCTTACGGTGACATCTTTTTGCAGGGAAGCTAATAGGCGTTATCGTTCTAGGAAGAGAACGGTATCGTACTTGTGTGGGAAAGGAAAATACGGGTTGTACGCTAAGGCTAACGTTTTCGTATTTTTCTTTCCTTCTTTTTCCTTTCGCAATATTTTCAAGGATTGAATATATTCTTCTTCGATCTTCACTTACCGCTTTATTTCACTTTTATCTTTTTACGGCACAATTTAGCGTTGTTGTGTCTAATTTCGTTTTTGCAAACAGGAAGTGAATTCTTGTTTACAAGGAAGAAGAGGATATACTTTATATGATATTTATTGTAATAAATAATTTCTCTTGACATTATACAACGCGTCGCGATAATAAATTCATAAAACATTACAAACCTCAAGCAGTGATTAATGTCATGCGTAGCGTACCTTACAACAGTTAATTATGCTGCGTTGCTTGTGCGCGATTACCTTAGAGCACGCATTAATCAATTTCGCGATACAAACATTTTCCGTCGCTCTCATTTCTTTCGTTTTATTTTATATCTCATTTTATATTTTTATATTCCAAAAAGCTTATTAAAATCCTCTCGCGCGACCCGTCAGTTCGCGTAAGATTAACAGACATAAGACACATTATTTTTTCGTGCAATTGTTGCGTGGCCATGAGTTCAAAAAACAATTCGAGCATTCATTTGAATAGAATTTTGCGAATAAAAAATTTGTTCGAGATTCATTCTTTCCATTACCGCGTAGTGATTTAGCAACTCGCGTCGTTATTAATGCATTATACGGAAGCGCATTGTGAAAGCCGAAAATCGCAGAGATCCATATTTGCACAAATCTATTATACATATCATACATACGATTTTAATGCAATATACGTATCACCGGACCTTTCAACTGACACAATGAGTTACCAGATATTATCGTGAATACGAGTCGAACGAATGTGAGCGTTATCAGTGAATTTGTATACATGCTTCTGTATAAGAATTGAAACCGTCATCACTTTGGAGATTGATTTTTCATGTCCGATATTAGAAATATATGGAATGTACTTTGTCAGTTGTCATGTTTACATCATCAAATTATCGCAGATAGTCGTTAACATTAAGATCTGGTATCACCAAAATTCTTCCGGCTTCGTTTCTCGCTGAATATCTCTCATGATGAACGAATGACGCTTCATAAATGATATACTGGCAGTTCTTAAATTTCAATTTAATCGGTATAATTCTCGTGACTCAGGAAATCGATAATACTTGACAGTTGTTTTGAGAAAGTTATCTTTCGACGTACAAAAAAGCGTCATCGCGATTTTGCGTCCGGTCACCGGTGAGTCGTGTAAATACGTACGCGTAATCGTATCGGTCTTCGATCATCGTAACTATACGCGAAATCTCTGTACAAGACTAGGATAGTTGAGAAACTAAATTATCGCCCGCAGTTTCGCACTTCGCTGAATCCAAGTCCTGAGGAAATTCCATATCCTCTTAGGCTTAGTAATATTTTAAGGATTTTAATTTTACGCCTTTTGCTAATCCTCTTGGACGTCTACTAATTAAATATATATGCGTGAAAATATTATAGAATCATTATAATATATATACATATAAACACATGTACATTAATGTTGTTATCGGAGACTAAAAACGAAAAGTATATTTCTTTCTACTTGATATAAAGCGACGTATCTGTTTAATTAACTTTAATTGTTTATTTGTGCATCGGAAATGCATTTTCGTATTTACTCAGTCTAATGAACTATTATGTATAATATTTTCTTATCTTCATTTATATATTTATTATGAACTAATAAATAAAGTTTAGTGCAGAATGTGCCCAAGTAATTTTACTTTTTTTGCGTAATGCAAATATCTCGCAATTATTTAATCCGTATTTTGATCTTGGGTAAAAAACGAGATTATTTTACTTTTTATCAAAATCTCGCACAGTGTTGTTTCGTTTTTAGTCTCTGGTTGCGATACACATCGACGTCGCGACTTAAACGATAACGGAGGAAACCAAATCCGATACATCAGAGGCTCGATAATGAGTTAATTATAACGTTGATTTTGCTCCCAAACTCGAACCACTTTTAAGCGGGCTCGACCCTCGTGTGGCTAAGTCTTCATTTCGAGGTATAGAAAATATTCGACGATCATTCGTGTCCCTCGCAGTCCCTCGAGAGATACATCTCGTTTGATTAATTACGAAATCCAGTCGAAACGCGTGCGTGCGCACGCGAGAGTAGGTGGTTTACGTTCGTCTATTTTATAATCATCCTCGTATATACGACCTTCTCGTTGCGACCAGAGGTCGGTGGAGGTCAGTTATTACGATGGTAACAAATCTTTAACTACGTCTTACAAAAATGCTAGATAATCGCTTCAGTCGAGTGAAACTTTCTATTTGCGTTGAATCGCCTGCGGCCACCTCGAAGCTGCGATCGAGGGGCTAGATGGGAGAACGTCTCGGTGTAGTTGAGAGAATACATCGTTTCGCGAGAGTGAATTACCGATTTTCCCCTCGGAGAAACACACCTCCCGTGTATCGCGAATTTAGTGCCTTTCGGGACGTGCTTCTTCATTGTGATATTTGAGATTCAAATGAGTGAGTTTCTACTTACGAGCTGATTCAGACACTCAACACGCGCGTGAGATTCCTTCAAAGCTCGAGACCGCGTACAATCTCGCGTACAATCGAGCGACTTTTCCACTTATTTTCTCAATTATCTAATATCGTGCACTTTGCAACAATGACAGAACCGTTTGGCATCGTTAGCATACTATCGAGAGCGATCCAAACTATAACGAAACTCGCTTCACCTCGAGGTCTTCTCCGTCCAGCGTGGAGGAAAACTCGCCGAAAGATAATAATCTCTAACGAACGGTCGGAATATCCCGTTTACCACGCGAGGATAATTTATCCCGGTTCCGGGGGAAGGTTCGTGAGACGCCTCGACGTCGTTTCGCGCTTCGTCCTTCATTGCAACATGCTTAAACCTAACTTCGCTAGGTGTGCTGCAATACAAACGATTCGTTTCATCCTCGACATTGCTGTCCGCTCGCGTTCGTACAAACTAACAAACATTAAATTACCTACACGCTACGCTCCTTATCGTTTATTAGTGACTTACGAGTATATATCACTGTGTGGCTGTGTGCGAGTCTTTCCAGAACATAGACTTGATAACTAGTTGTCGTCTAAATGCGTGTACAGTTGCGCCGATATCCATTATTCCGCGAGATCTCTTCGTGGATGTGACGATTGCGAGTAACGTTGCGGCTCTTTACGATCAATGGCACGAAGTCGATCCAGGTACAAGTATATCGAACGGTGCCTCGCGTCCTCCTCGATCGGCATCCACGGTGAGAATCGGCGCGGTCGCGAAACGAGCACGGAAGTCTTTGAAACTTTACTTCCCCTCTCGGCCCTCGGCCGGAGGGGGGAGCAGGGGTGCACACGCGACGTTCCAGCGGATCACCCTAAACGTTCAGGTCGGCCATCATTTTGCGAAAATCCGCTAGGGTGTTGTAATCGGGGTCCGAATCGATGTCCGCGAAGTCCTTGCTGGAATCGGTCTTGACGAAGCTCGGATTGTATCGGCTTAGTGATAACGGGCACGGCAGTAATTCCGGCATCACCGAGTGGTGAGTGATCAGAGCAGTGAGCGTGGTGAACTCCTTCGTGAAGCCCTGAAACATACGCGAAAAGTATTTATCGCTGTTACAGCGATGACGTTTTACTCTCTCTCTCTCTCTCTCTCCCTCTCTCTTTTATATTTTCTGAATTCAACCTTCATAACCTTTAAAACTGAATGATGAGCCATGAAACCACAAGAAAATCATTTTCACGTTATCATCGGATTGAGCCTAAATCACAAGTTAACTAGAAAACGAAAAAAAAACCGGACCTTAAAGGGCAAAGCTCCAGAGTGGAAATAAAAGCTCTATCTACCTATCTACCTCCACTCTACTCTCAGTTCCACACTCTTTTCTCACACTTTATTACTACACCGTAATGCCGTAATTATTTTCTAATTTTTCTCGAATCTTCTCTGGAATTTTATATATGTTATAATAAATCAAGATGAAAAAAAATGGCTGTGTCGGACCACACCGAACACACGTAATCGGAGTTTATTGTTTCCGCCATTGTTACGCACGCCGCGTTGCCGCGATATATCGTGTCGGGACGGTGGCACTGTAAATAATAGTTTGTGAAATTTTCCTCATGCTCGCGCGATATTTTCAGCCATCGCGCTGAAAGAACGTCGCATAACGAGGCGAGTATTAAGCGCGCGTACGTGTGTGCTCAGACGAGCTTCGTGTATCAGAATTATCGCGCGCGGCATTCATTCGAATCTGGGCGCTGCGCTGTTACAGCGATGCAATCCCGNGGGGGGGGGGGGAGCGGAGTTTTGATTTCCCTACGGCACCCGTCGCACATCCAACAAAACTCATTTATACTGGTTTCGGAGATTATCAAAGTCCGCGGACTCATTTAATCTATCCTACGAGAGAAGCTCGACCATTTAAATACGCGTATCCGAACGGCTAAATGTGGTAGCTTTGTACCGGCGCGGTATCGCGAGCGTAATGTCTCGCCGCTAAAAGCTCCGGTCTCGCGCAGCTAATTTCAATATTAACTTCCACATACGAAGGGCCGACTCTCTCTCTCTCTCTCTCTCTCTCATTCCTTCCCGTAGATATTATCTCGCGCACCGTCGCTGAAAAGGTTTCTATTCTCGTGGTCGATGTTTGGTTTGACGAGAGATACGGAGACGTCGCGCGTGTAGACGCAATTAACGTGAGAATGCACGCTCGCGTCTGTTAAAACAGACAACGGCTATTTCGGGAAAGAAACTCGGTTAATCAAGTCGCGATCTAAAACACGCTCTTCGGACGGTTAACTCTGAGATTCCTCGCGAGAACGAGTATCGTTATCGCGTGATACGGTGAACGTAGCCAAGCAGCGGAAAGATACCTTGCTCTTCTCTCTCCTCCTCTTTGTCCTTTCTCCTTCTTCTTTTAATTTCGTAAGTTTCTTTTGTACACGTTTACGGCTGCTTTGGCCCAAAGAGGGACTCGCTTGAATTCTGTAAGCCGCGTTTACGGCTACCTCGATACTCGGCGAGCACACCGGAGAGAGATATATACTCACTTTGATTTTGTAACCTTTGTTTGTACGCATTATGAGATAATGAGCTATTCCGCTCGGCTGGAATTCACGGGGCACACGGAGGGAGAGGGCGTAACATCCGGGCTTGCTGGTACTCTCTCGCACCATGAACGCTCCTTCCGGCTCTTGGCTCAATACCTCCAGCGTTATTTCCCTGGAAATCACGGTCGCGTCGTTAACGTTAAACGGTCGAGGCATCGTTCCCTGTTTTCCTTCCCTCGCTTCGGAAGCAGGGGGAGGAGAGGGGTGAAATTCAGTTCTCGCGCGCAAGTGTACAAGTTACAAAGAGGCCGCCGCGCGCTATCGGTGGAGCATTGCGCTCGGCGGATACTTAAAATTAGCGTCGGCGTCGTCGTCGGCTATTTCGGCGCGGCGAGAAAACGCGCTCCGTTATACCCCGTCATTCCCCGACGATATATAGCAGTGTCGCCAGACCAACCTGGGTATTCCGGCCTGAAACCAGGGCGCTTTGCGCAGCTCGGCCTCCTCGCTTCGATTATTCAGGCTGTCTGTTCTCTCGGGCAAAGGCGGCGGGGTTGGCGTGGAGCCATGAGTGCTTCCGTCAGCGGGCACCGAGCTACTCGACGTGCTAATTTGCGATCTTCTTTTCGACTTGAAATCCGCCTCCGTCCCCGAGCCGGGGCAATTGTGTCCTATCCTGAAAATGAAGGAGCTGTCGTTCACCGGCTCCTCACACACGACTCCTCGCTACCTCGCAGGAGGGCGATCGGGGTCGGGAGGGGGAGAGTAGGGTAGGTACGCAAAGCGGTAGCGCGCGGCTCACCTGTTGTTCTCGATGTTGAAGTTCTTCGCGGTGATGGACGCGTTGATGGTGTTGTCGAGACTCTCGGACGGCGGGATCTTGTTGTATGACGGCCTCGTACCCTCCGAGTCGATGATCGCCTCGTTTATGTAGCCCCCGGAATGGGGCCTGTTCGATGGGCTGGTCGGCGTGCTGCTACCGCTGACGAGCGGGCAGCTGTCATCCTCACCGTTCAGCCCAAGAACGTCGCGTCCACCTGTCAAACCCATCGCCAGCCGCTTTATCAGCGGCGGCTTGTCCGTTAGCCTCTTGTACGAGTTCAACTCCGTCGGTGAGTTGCTCTCATCGCTGCTCGGTGTGCTCTGCTGGGAAATGCTCTTCGACTCGTCCTCGTTCGTTATGGGCCCGAGGACGTTCGTGAACGACGGCCGCAGCCCCGGAATCGAATTCGGCGCCTGGAATGCGAATGATCGTTCAAAACCCCGACGCGGAGGACGAGCGCGCGGATGTNGGGGGGGGGGGGGGGGGGGGCGTCGAAAGAGTTTGGCTGCGGCTGATGAATTTCTATGATTCAATTACCGCTGTCCGTCTCTCCGACGTTACGCGTACATACGCGTGGACAATTTCTTCGGATCTAATTGGTCCGATTTCCCAAAATGATCATGTGATTCTAGTTGGGAAGTCTACGCGGGTCGTAATTAGAGCGGAAACAGTTTTGTTACTGGGATAGAAAAGATTTCGCTGGGTGAATTTGGGTCTCGGTACATCTTGATTTGCTGTTGGAACGAAATAGCGTTTTCCTACATTCAGTCATTTGTCCTTACAGCAAAATAATTTATAGATTCGGAGAAATAATCGAATGAAACGAATGGCAATTGGTACTCTTAAGAAATCATTTTGCTTTCCACATAGTAACTGGTAGATTTTGTTTGCGATAACAGAATTTGCCCCATTCAGCAAATTATTTTTCACCGTGTAGTAACAGTAAAAAAGTTACATTAAAAAGTTTAGTTACATTAAAGAGTAGTCACATTAAAAATGTAACCGATTATTAACCACCTCGTCTGATATTCGATCAAACCATCGGTCGATTCTAACGGCAATAGTCGCGCGCGGCAAGGCACAGCCAGTCAGTATCGCGGAAAGAAGGCTTCATCCCATATTTGGAATAAGAATGCCTGCGTTCAGTAGAGAAAACATTATAGTAAGTGCTTAATGACTATTGCTTCTGATTGGTACATTCTCTTTGATGAATATTCTTTTGTATCAAGGATACAAAAGAATATTCCAGTCACGGACAACAACCATTAAGCGCTCAGTCTCTGCTTTTGTCTCTGCTGAACGCAGTCAATGGGACTCCCAATTGGTGTCGCAGTGGGATAACTTATTTTAGAATAACCTTGGGTATTCTAATCCTCGGGATCCACGCTGTATGCAGAAATATCGATGAGAAAATTTCGATGCGGGCGCTTGTTACACGTACAGACGCGGGAACGAATGTGTTAATGGTGACGGATAAAAAATAAGTCGCGCGTTCAGTTGAGAGTCTAGTCGAGTCGGTGGCGTGACATTCTACAGTTTGAAATTCATTCACGCTGAACTAGCGGCTCCGGAGTGTTATTTTCGCTCGACACCGTTGAAACGCGATGGAATAGTAGGCTACACGTTAGCCGAGTTACTCGGGTATGAATTCACCTTTACACCGGCGAGTCGCAGCGTGGGCGAGCCGGCGCTGCCGAGCTGCACGTTCATGTCCGTTGCGGACGAACCCCTTCCAGTCCTGGAGGTGGGCGATGTCCGACTTTTCAGCCACGAGTTGGACGACGGACTCCTGCAAGCGCCTCCGGCGATCGTGTCGTCCCCGGGCAGCGATTTGTTCTGCAAATAAAATGTGACGATCATCGCTAAATCTCGGCTCGTCAACTCGGCCCCGTGCTCGTCGTGTCGTCGTTCACGGAGGGAAGAGTTCGCCGATTATTCCGTCTCTCCGTTACCCACGTCGCGCCGATGATCCTCCCGGCGCTGCGCACTCTCAGCGAATCCCTGAACGGGTCCAAGGATTGACGCGGGTAAACTCGTTCATCTTATTAAAACCATCCGGGCGATGCGCGTGATCGTTAAAACGACCGTCGGCCGGATCGACGCTCGCTTTCGGGATTCTCGGGGTGAATATTTGATCGGCGGAATCTCACGGCGAATCCCAAGACGATTTCGTGGCGACTACACCGGGCAGACCGTGGCGGACTGACCGTTTACTCGGAAGCGCGACGCGACGCGGCAAGCGAGAGACTCGGGTCGAATTTATAATTAACGCGGCCTGTAAACGGGACACCTACTGGAGTCGGTGGCCCCCGTGAGACCACGTCGGGAGAACATGGTTGTCGTCGTTGTCCCTTTCGTCTCTCGCACTTGGATATTTAAGAAGCTCTTCCGCGAGCTGTTCCAGCCGTTTCCTCCGCGCTGGGTATTCCGCTACGCGTATTCCACAAGCCGGGCTCCACCACACCCGGTATCGTCCTTGCGCCGGCCGGCGAAAAAATTTACAAGGGAAACTTGAATAAACTATTTCGCGTATTAGCGATCCGGCCCGGTTTTGCGACGGTCGGCAGCGATCGTGCGATAACGTCCGTAAACGCGCGTGTCGCGCGTTGTGTGCGCCCCCTTTTTCCGGAGACATTTTCCGAATTCCGCTTTACGTAACTCTCGATCGCAGATCCTCGCGAGAGGACTGTTCGCTAATTGCTAAAAGCAGTTGCAATTTATACGGCGCCTTTGTGAGAAAACTAGCAGATGGCGCAATACCATCTACAGCTTGTAAAGTTGGGGATAGTTTAACTTGCTTAACTTTTCTTAGAGCCGGTGAGGAAAGAACAAACGACGTTATTAGCGTCTTAAAATGTACGACGCCTCGTTATTAGCCGCTAGTACATTGGCATGGTATCAAAAATCTTCTTGTATCCTTCATAAGGTACTCTCTTAAATCTAATCAGCGGAAGTGTCGTCGATCGAATCAGCGAAACCTATATATCGATAATTAGCGAGTATTTGCTAATTTTTAGTAAAAACATTTCCACTTAACTTTTTTCTCTTATACTTCACTAATATCGACCAGTGAAAGATTCAATGCAAATCGCTCCCCGCGTCCCATATGTTACGCGTCCCATAGCGGAAATATATATACATATACGTGTATGCATTTAACCATATGTCGTATTTGGCGTAGTTCGTATGGTAGCAGACTCGAGAACTAAAAGTCTCGTGTTGGGTCTCATCAGGGTGAGCGTTTTCAAACACGCACTGAGAAAAAAGTACTTAAATTTATGCGACGTAAATTTGCCCGATATCAACTTTATTTCGCAGAAATAAGCCTTATTTCTATCAAATAAACTTTATCTACTGCAAATAAATTTTCAAATACTTTTCTCTCAATGCGATGTAAATTAAACAAATTCAACGTAATGAAGATTGTTTCAGATAAAATTATCGACGTCTTAAGATTGATTGAGATAATAAAAAAGCAGTAATAAATAATATCTTTTCTCGTTGTTTCTGCAATTAAATTTTCCCGATGGAAACGGTGGAACTGTTTGGCAGAGCATTTTTAGCGAAATTTTATTCCGATTTGCAGTTACAACTATGACTCCTAGTGGCTATTGATTACTTTTCACTGATAATACACTGATTGTACTTTAGAGAGTACGTTTCGCGCTCGCGTGCTCGGTCAATTAACTTTCGCTTCGGCGACACGATTAACTTCTCCCGGTCGTAATAATTGTTAGTATGGGTATTTTGCCGGGAATATCCCGGACTTCGAACCGGAAAGAGTTAATGTATAAATACACATTCGAAACCTACCCACGACGTTCGATGCTCCTGCTTTTCCTTGCGATAAGTTGGCGTCGATCGCGGTGAGATTACATCCTGAAGGATCGGTTGGCGCTGAAGCTGCGCCACGTACGCCATGCGGAAAGCATTGCCAACGATGGTATTCAGCTCCTCCGCCTGCAAGCAGACAAGAAGATGCAAATTTTCACGCGAATCTTATGTACGTACGCGGACACGCTTTGCGAGCTCTCATTACGTTATCGTCGTGCGTAGTCGCGATTCGAATTTTCACCTTGATTACACGAAGTGTCCTCTGTGAAACTCGCGCCTGTGTGCAATAAGAGATTAGTCCATGTGTTGTTGATCCTTTGGGAAAGGAATATCTTGACGTGTGCTCGATAAAGAGAGATTAGCCCACGTTGTTGATTCTTTAGGAAAGAAATATCTTGACGTGGGCTCGATAAAGAGAGAAAGAGATGTGAATTATTTCTTCACTGGATCGTCCTGTTCAACGCCTCATTTAGCAAAAGCATAGTTGAGAAGCAAACTTTTCCACATTAATTAACTATGGTCAAGAGAACGTTTTCAATTTTCCACAATGAAAAGTGTGCTACGTTCAATAAAATATTTGCTAAGGAGTATTGGAGTAATTATTTTACCTGGATTAAGTAAACGTCATTTGTATGTAGTACTTTTTTTCTTTCAACGTGTTACATTTAAATAATAGTTATTTAATCCAAATAAAATAATTACTCCAATACTCCTTGGTAAATATTTATTAGAAGTAAAAATATATTTGATTATATATAATATTTTCTTTGTATAAATAGGCATTTATTTGTACGTGTTAAAAGGATCGCGAAAAATATTAAATTTACAATATTGAGAATATCAGAATTGATTTTCATGAAATATTTACCGAACAGAAAGATTTAAACATAAAACTACTACTAGGTTTGTTTCAATAGAAAATAAATATTACATATAATTCTAATAAATTTTAGTGCCATTTTACATTCATGAATTCATGCACAAATTAAGATATTACTGTATTAAAGTAAGTATTTCCTGCAAGCTATTAAAATATACTTAAGTCGATAACGATATTACTTGATTTAAGGAGCTGGTACGCAGATAATAACGTTTACTTGATTCTAGCATTTTTTCTGCGTTCCACAAGGTCCTTTTGAAATACGAAGAACGGAAACAAAAAAACCGACTACCAGATGTTCACACAAATCGCCCGACGGCAGCGGGATTCGATCGTTACGCCATCATCGTTACCGGACACATAATAATATCAAAAGCGGACGGGCGAGTTACATCGCTCGTGGGCAACGGATAGCGCGTGGCGGATTGAAGAAATTTGCAAATCATCCTACGNTTTTTCCCCCCCCCCCCCCCTTTTCGTGTGGCCAATTAGATTTTTCTGGATCCGCCGGCGAAGAAGGCGAAACGGTCGAGGAGCAGACGCAAACGCGGCTGTCTCTGAATGTGTAATAAGCACTCGCGGGGAGCCGCAAGCCTCGGCCGCGCGCGTTTAGAAATCTCCGGCTACGTACGTGCGTTCGCGCTCGATCCGAGTGCAGGTGGGTCGTCGCGTGTGAGCGTGTACGTACGTACGTACACGCGCGGTGTGCGGAGACACGTAGGCAGAAATGGGGAAAAGGTCGGCGAGGGTGCGGAAGGCTATCCTCCCACCCTTTTCCGAAAGCCGGTGAAAGCCAGGACGAGGTGCGTATTAATGCGCACCGGCCGGCCGACGAGGGGCTACGGATTCTAAGAGGAGCATTGTACGAACGGTAACGGACGGACGGGCCGCGATTACCGTCTCATCTCCGCGCAACTTTTCCTTTCACGGTGCATAGCGTAGCGGCGGCGCCGAGATATTCCTTGCCGGGGAGATATCCAATTGTTTCGCGTCGTCAAGTACGTACATCTCGACTCGCGGACTCGCATTCCTCGCCCTGCGGCACTCGCCTATGTATCCTCTCTATTCCCCGCGACATTGTTAGGACATTGTTGGTAAGCGGCGCGGAAATCCTTCCGCCTGAGTTTCGCGCCGTCGTAGGTGGGAAGTGCATTCTCCGGAGCCGGCGGATCGGCGCGACGGAAATGCAAACCGAAAGACGGAACGCGCGCCGGTGCGTATTTACCAATAATATCATATTGATTCGCGCGAGCTATTGTGGGAGACTCGGAGATATTTCGAATCGCCGGTCTAGCTCGCGCGGAGGACGGCCGATCGCGTGCAAGTAAGGGACAATGCGCTTTGTGGATACGCGCGGAACAACAGCAGCTGGGCTTTTAGATTAAAGCGCGGCAACGCACGCTCGAATAATTTCATGCTTTTGCGGCTTGAGGTCAGCCCGAATGATTCCACTAGGAAGGAGATATTTCAATTACGTTAGCGCGCGCGCACGGACGAAGCAATGACTCGAGAGCTATAATTGCAAACCGGGCGCGCGACCGCTTCGTAACTCGCCGAGTCATAGCCGGCTCTACGCGCATGTAAATCGCTATTTATTCGTGTGCTATAAAGTTCCTGCATTTGTCGCTTAACTGCAGCGATAAATGTATGAGGGGGGATCTCACTTTGGGAACAAGCGGGATAACCGTACCTGCGAGGAGCTTACTCCCCGATCCTGTCCTAAATCTATACTTTGAGGAACGGCAGTGCCCGGTACGAGGATATCGAGAGAGAAGCGTGGTCTTAGAGTCATATTTTGCGAGGGTAAAGATTGGATGTTGCGTTCCGCAGCTTCTCCTGAGGAGATGCCAAAGTCGACGACGACAAACGTCGATAACGTAGTGACGAGCTTGAAAATGTTACGTTACGTAAATACCGGCACGATCGCACCGCTCTTTTTGTATTTCTCATGCATGTGAAATCTTACGTAAGTATAAGTACGATATACGAGGATGTCCCGAACCTCTTTCGGTTCCCGTGGTATATATAAACGGGACGAATAAACGATTTTCTTTGTTAATATTTAAGGGCGAATTTCCTGATAACTATCAAACCCACAATCTCCACTTACTGGAAATACTGAAGTTTCAACAAATGAATTGAGGGCGGTCTGGAAGTATACGAGCTTTTCGAATATACTCGGAATGTATGTAGAAGTGTCCTCTTCAAGGACACTGGTGCCTTCAGATCAAAATATATCGACGGATATTTTCAACCGGCGTTCTCCTCAACTGTGCTTTTCAACTTTGAACTATTCCCTTCTCTTTCGAGAACAGCCACCCCTCGGACGTGTCCCTATTTTCGCACATCCGCTATCGAAATAACGACTTGATGGATTTCCCGTCCACACTTCCGGGGGTAGCGTTTACAACTGAATACACACTGGGTCTGTATCGGTCCGACTTTATTAACTTTTCAGTTAAATCTATTATTTCTATCGCGGATGTGTGGCGCGCAGGCCGCGAGACCGCGGATATCATCGGTGAAAAAACAGCAGCCGTATTCCGTGGCGTGGGAAAATCTCAAGATTAATACACCGAGGGAGAAGAAGAGAGGAGGTTCCTCTGCCGGCCGCGCGCTTTTATGCCACGTTCCACATGGAAACACGAAGGAAAACGTTCCGACGATAGAGATTACTCGCTCTCGCGACGGAGCGAAGAGTCGTGTCATAAGGAGGAATTTATTGTCGCCGTGGGCGGAACCTGCGCGAGATCCTGGCCGGGCTCGTCGTCCCCTCCGGCCGACAATCGAAAATACGGTCCTGAGATTCCCGCCCCGAGGTGGAATTTAAGCGCGATGAAATCATCAGCGCCGACTCTTCTTCTTCTTCTTCGTCTTCTCCTTCGCTCTGTACCCCGTCCTGGACATTGACTCGAACAGCCACTGACCCTCTCCACTGCGTTTAGATTCAGGCCCGTTTGACCGATCGCGCATAGTGCAAACCGAGGTTACGCGAACCTCCGCAGCGATTCTCCGCGTTCGCCCTCGATCGCGAGCGATTTTCACGGGCGGCGGGAGGGTACGGAATCCACCAGGTAGACTCGGAGGTCTTAACGCGAGAGAGAGCGCGGACGGAGGGGAGAAAAAAATGCGAGCTTTCGAGAGGAAGCCATTCGGCTCGGTTCACCTTGATTCGTTGTTCGCGCCGACGGCTTTGGCAAAAAGACAGGAGAAACGAGAATCGAATGGGAAGAGGACCGAAAGGACGATGGATCGCCGCAGCTTTGCGCCGGTGCAGCGTGACGGGCTACATTCCAGGCATTCCGCGCGGTCACGGCCATATCTCCAGCTCCTCTAGATTTCCCGTCTCGTGTACCTGTCCACCAATACCACGCCGCGTGTAAGCCGGTACTCGCAATAATGCCGCTTGGTAGGGATGCCCTCGTCACACTTCTGAATTTTCTTTCACGCGTGTCGTCGTCGTCGTCGACCGTCTCGTCTCTCCGACGTCGCTCGGCCCGGCACGGATAAAGAGGAAAAGTTCGAGGGAGCGCACTAAGGGCATTCTCACCGAGCGTCGTTATTGCACTTGCCTGTACCAACCGTCGACGCGACCATCGCGGTACCATCGCTCCGCAACCACCGACACCATCCTCATCGATGGCTGTGGTGCAACTGCGCTTTCGCGCGCGCGACGCTCCACGTCACCACGCTAATTCCTGCTTCGCCCTACCTTCTCGCGCTGCTTCTTTTATCTCCGCTCTCGCTCTTGTGACCATTCCGTATCACAGAAGACGACTACGTGTTCCAGTTCCGCTTTGGGCACGATGTCTGTCTCAGGATACCTGAACCGGAAGGCTGTGTGGGAAGACCTTTTTATTGACGTCCGATGCACTACATAGAAGAAAGAAGTGCTAGATTCAAGTAAATAATTACTTGAGTAATTATTTATTTGAATCCAGCAGTTTTTTCTTGTATACGTTCTGTCGCAAGGATTTTCGACTGCAAGGACGGTTTCTACAATTATGATCGTGGATTCGGACTATAGACATCTTTGCTTCATTATTTCCGCAAGTGTCGGTCAAAGTAAACGGAGCTTTAGCCGATTTTCTGCCATTTCCGAGTACTGTCTACTGTTGCGAGATCGCGTAATCAAGACTGTCAGGTTTCTGCGCGATCAATGACCGGGGACAAAATGTGTAAAAAAAAAAGGAAAAAAAATGTTCTGCTCACGGCTCCACAGATTTCTGGGCATGACAGGTACAGC